TGGCCCCAAGGCCCGGAGCTGCCAGCCGAGCCGCGCCCCGCTCCCCTGCGCTCTCCCCTTGAGAAGGGGGTTCAGCTCAGGGACTCGGGGACACGGGCTGCCCAAGGGCAGCAGCGCTGGGGCCTTCTCGGGGGAGGCCAGGCAGCTGCCCCCCGTCTTCATGCTAATGAGAAGGTAACGACAGAAGACGGCGGCTTGTAGGGTTGGTGTGGAAATCGCATACAACGAGGAAGGAGAGAGGGCTTTAAAAATAGGGGCCCTACATGGGGCACCTGGGGGGCTCAGCGGTTGAGCATCTGCCTTCGGTCCAGGGCGTGACCCCGGGGTCCCGGGATCGAGTCCCACGTCGGGCTCCCTGCATGGGGCCTGCTTCTCCCTCTGCCTGTGTCTCTGCCTCTCTCATGAATAAATAAGTACAGTCTTAAAAAAAAAAATAGGGTCCCTAGAAAGGCAGTCAGGGGTGCTCACCTCACCCCCAGATCGAACCATGGAGGGGAGTCTGGAAACCGGCGTTTTATCGGGATGCGTGCACCCTCCAGGCACGCTCAGACTTAAGAATCACTGACACACATCAGTATCTTTTTTTTTCTCCCCTTCTACTTTATAAACAGAGAAGAAAAGATAGGCAAGGAAATTAGGTGAAATGAGGTGGAGGGGAAGGAAGCCGTGAGTCTTCGAAGCCCCCAGTTCTTCTCCCTGGGCTTGGTCTTCCAGATAACTGCTGGGCGGGGTCTGTCCCCAGGGCCGCCGTAGGGGGTAGAAACCTTGACCGTACCCCACTGTGCTTCACCTACTGAACTTCTCCGGCACAGGCCCCCGAGGGCTCGCTCGGGCTCTCCCACCACTCAGGAGGGCAGCATCTCACCTTGCCCACCGTCTCCTCCTGCCTACTGCAGCCTGTCAGGGTCCTGGGGCCCTCTTTTTTTTTTTTTTTTTTTTTTTTTTAGGGCCGCTCTTAAAACAGCAAACACGTTCGCCAAATGACCCTGGCCTGGCAAACACACACAAACCTTTGCTGATTAGCACTAATACACCTGGAAGCATCTCTTGGCTTTCCCTTATCAACGGGAAACACTTCGTGTCTTGACCCAGAAGCAAGTAGGGCCATGTCTCTGTGTGGTTCACGACAGGAATGCAAAAATGATTCTCACATCGAACAACTTACCAGAAGCTGGAAGGAATGGTGAACATTCATCAAACCATGCCCTTCCAGGCCAGCCAGAATGATCCTCAAAACTGTCCCACCAATAGGCAGGTTCCTATTTAATCCCCTGGGCCAAGCAATCCTGTCTCAACCCTCACGATCATTTATTTTACGTATAACCAAATCTTTCCTGTTAAAATTTACAGCCTTTTCTCTAGTTCTGACCTCAGGGGAAATGAAGAACAGATGCTCACTTGGCTTTTAATAAAAAGGTTATTAAGTCACTGCACACCTTTGTTCTACCATTGGAGGCGGTAGGGACACAAACTGTCGCTTCTTAGCTCCGTTTGCTTGGCTCTGGTTCACCATATTTCTTTTTTTTTTTTTTAAGATTTTTTTTATTTATTCATGAGAGACAGAGAGAGAGAGAGAGAGGCAGAGACACAGGCAGAGGGAGAAGCAGGCTCTATGCGGGGAGCCCGATGCAGGACTCGATCCTGGGACCCTGGGATCACGCCCTGGGCTGAAGGCAGATGCTCAACCGCTGGGCCACCCAGACGTCCCAGGTCACTGCATTTCTTTTAACAGGCAGCCCCATTTTGTCTTTGAGTGGATCAAAACTGTAAGTTATACTCAGGTCAGCACAGCTGCAAGAGCCTGCTTTATTTTTTTTTATAAATTCTACCAACAAGTGTTGGGTCCCCTGAGGTGATGTGGCTTAAACAGATGACATTTAAAAAACTGCCATCAGTTTCTCCTATTGCCTCTTTAAAGATCAGAAATGTAAAAATTTTGCGAGCTGGTCCCCTGATTGCTTTTATCTGGTATGGCCGAGCTTCGTTAAAGCTGGGTGCTATAGTCGTTCAGAGCTAAAAGCAAAGACAGTATTTTCCTTCCTTATTTTGTTAAAGGAATTTTGCACCTTAAGGCACTCATACAGAAGTAAATTAATAAGCATTTTCAAAATTGCACATGGAACTGAACAGTCTTCCAAAGCAACTCCAAAATTACGCTCAGGAAGGATGCGTCATTTTTTTAGCTCCTGTTTATGGTACCTTGTTGGGAGGTGGGCAGAAAGAGGGCACCACTTTACAGATAAGGACTCGATAGAAGAAGTTGCCAAAGGTTGACCCAGCAAGGCTGCTGCAAATCCAGAAACTAAAACTTGGTCTCCCAGCCCTCAGCTCCTGAGTTCTTTATGCACAATATCCTATCCCTCTAAAAACCAGCACTTTTCAAACTGCAGTTCCACGGAGAGATTTAAGGACACGGTTTTGTCTCCCTTTGCATTCTCAACGCTGAACACTAAAACTGCCTCGCTGCGATGGTCATCTCGAACACAAAACCCTGTCATTGCATCTGGGAAAATTATCCGCAAGGCTCCACAAGCCTCAGCTCAAGAGTAAGTAACACCCCCAGAACCAGCCCTGAAGGTGCAGGACAAAGTCATCTTACTTACAGGTGGAAAGAATCATGGCTGGGCTTCTGCAGGGAGCAGACCAAACAGCCTTCAGTTCTCGAGCGGCGCTCCAGTCACAAAAACACATCTTTTAACTGAAATCATAGCTCGCCCGAGATGTTTCTCACGAGCAAAGTTAACCCCACCTATTTTCCTGTTCTGAAAACCTCAGAGAAGTGTGTGAATGACAACCCGATGGCCTATATAAGAAAAGCTCAATAATCTACATCCAGATCTCTGAGGGTAGTTGCTATGGGTTCCTCATTCCCAACTGTGTGGGTGACTCCAGCAAACAACATTTTCAAGAAATCACAAAAATTTTCATGAAAGGGACCTTAAAAAATAAAAAATAAAAAAATAAATCAAATCCAACTGCCCTCTCTGGACAGAGAAGGAAACGGATGCGCCAATAGGACAAGGGACACAGTGGCAGAAACAGGACGAGATTCTAGGTATTGAAATCTAAAATCTAGAATATTCTGTCCTCCCACTCAGTACTGACAGTTCAAGGACTGTATTATGAAACTTCTTTGTGTGCGTGTGTGAGGATGGAAAGCCAATGCAACAATACACCTAAAAGGGGAGTGAGCCATGGCTGGGAAATGCAAAAACAACATCGATAAAAATTGCACTTACGGGTTGCACTTCATCCCCTTGGAAAACACAACCAAAAATTGAAACTAAAGGGAACAATTCTAATAAGCGCATAGCATCTTCGTATTGCTGCCCTTCCTATTTCCTGCTTTATAGATTAAGATCTCTTTAAGCATTCGGGGTGGATTCTTCTATTTTGACTTCACTGTTTGCCTTCGTTGTGCCTTTAAACGAAAATGGTTTTTAAGTCTTGGTGAAAAATGGAGAGAGTTTTGAGGACCATGTGTCCCAAATGTTGCCAGGTATTGTCCATCTCGTGTCCACATCAGTAGTGTACGTAACAATTAGTACAAGGACTATCTTTTGGCCCCGCTTTCTCCAGTACCATCCGGCACTCTGAATGCAGCTCCTCCAGGTGAAAAGGGAAGTATGGGACGGGACAGGGAGGTGTGGGAGGAGGCAGGATGAAGGAGAAGAAGAGGAGAAAGACCTCATGGATGGTACTGAGACTCCAGGCTAACGGGACTGAAGAACTCCAACGAGTCAGTTAAAAGGTGCGTATGTTTTTGCGATGGGGGTACAGCTACACAGGAAGGTGAGGAGGAAGGTGGCAAACAGACTGTAACAAGCCCTAAGATAATTTTTTTTTCCATTATAGGGAGGTTAAGGAAGGGTAGACGATAGTTCTCGGTGGATGGACAGGCCAGGAGGGGAAGAGATGGGTCTCCAGGGTCGCAGGGAGACACTGCTCAGAGCAGCCAGCAACAGCTCTATGTTCACACAACAGCTGTGCTACAGGGGACACCACGGCGGTCTCCAGAGCAGTTCAAACTCCAGAAGAAAGGCCCTGCATGTTGTGTGCACCTTGGCTTCCTACCCCCCAAATACCAAGAAAATGTGTGGGGCCGTGCACGGCCTTGGCTACTGACGGCAGAGGCTGTTTCTTTCTCCTGGGCTCAGGGGGAGAAATGAAGGTTCCAGCTTAGCTGGTATCTTCGTCAGCGACCGTAAGGGTCAGAAACCCACTCAAACTTGACCACAGGGTCTACCATGAGGCTCTTCTAGGCCATCTCACGGATTAGGAACCTAAGTCCATCCAGATCTCCCTAAAGCCATCCAGGAGGCAGCTCAATAAGCCATGCTCTCCATTTTCCCTCTCTGCCACAATGGGAGCTTGCTCCTGGGTCTTGCTGGCAGTGGAGGTGGCTTTGTTGGGAACATCACCTCATCATGCTGCCCCAGAGCCCAGCACCTCCACTGATGGCATCTATGTCCTGGGGCAGATTCTTAAGATGTAGAAAGTCACTACTGGTTGGGACGCTTGGGAGGCTCAGCGGTTGAGTGTCTACCCTTGGCTCAGGTCATGATCCCGGGGTCCTGGGATCAAGTCCCGCATCGGGCTCCCCACAGGGAACCTGCTTCTCCCTCTGCCTGTGTCTCTGCCTCTCTCTGTGTCTCTCATGAGTAAATAAATAAAATCTTTAAATTAAAAAAAAAAGAAAGTCACTGATTGCCCCTCATTCAATTTTTTACCTAACTCCAATTAGTTATGGATACTAGGGGTAGGGTCACTCAGCCCAAACATGGGGCTGGTTGGGGACACCCCCAAACGTGTCTGCCTAAGTGGGGAGGAGGCACTAATGGTAGAAGGGTCCGTCCGGGCTTCTTTCTCTTCAGTATGGCATATTCGATCCCTGGGGGAAGAAAAATTGACAGCTGCGAGGCACAGCCCCTAATCCTAAAAAGGTAAACTCTTATGTTACAGAATTATAATTTTTAATTAAAAGACAACTCATGTTTCTTATAAATATATATCTTTATATATTATATATATTTACAATATATACAGCATACAAATATTTTTTAACGTAATACTCATGGCAGTCTTGAAAACAGATGTTTTCAAAACAAAGGATGAGTTCTTATCCAAGGTGGGTTCCTGATTCACCCAGAACCCACATTCTAGACAATGCCTCAGGCCCAGATTTCTGTAGAAGTCGAAGGAAAGAGAAAGGCTGGTGGAATAAGATTCGAATTCCCTTTTCCTTCCCAAATAGCCTGACCTTCCAGTGTACCGGTGTACCAGCTAACGTGGCCCTCCATACACCCCTAAAATGGGCAAAGCATGGGGCCCGGGCATAGTACCTAGCACACGGTGGGCACTCAAGTACTTGTGGGATGGATAAAAGCGAGTGTTCTTAATCACCCTCCCTAGGCAGCATTTCCATAGTCGGAAGGATTCAGTCCCAGAGCTCCCATTTGGGCTAGAAGCAAATGCTTTAGGTGTTTCCACTTTGTAAGTAAAACCGTCTACATGTCCAAGTACTAAATAAATTAAAAGTTAGCCACAAAGGGCCATCTCTTCCTCATGCTTCGGAAGCTGGATGCCACGGATCACACCACCACTCATCGTCCAAAAGTTTCTTCGCACTCGACTAGTTCATCTATCGTGCGCAGCAAATCTTCAAAGGAAGGCCTTCCCTCTGGTTTCTACAATTAAAAATCAAAGAGAAGCTGTGGGTTCCAGAATTCATCCCCCAAATAATTTCTCACTGCTCAAACTCATGTCACATAGCACACATTGCTTCGGGACTAGAGCACTCCAGTGTCTCCAAATGGGTCTACTCTACCCCGCACGTACTGTGGCGAGTGGCGAGACGAACCTTTCCATACGCTGCTTGTGGGTCTCCGTTCAAGGTCTGACAGATCTCCTTACTGCCTGCAACACCAAGACCTGCTGACCTGCAGCGCCCTCTATAACTTGTCCCTCCTGCACCCTCTTGCTGCCCAATTTCATTTCCCACGAGAACCCTCATGTGGGCTCTCTGCTCACTCAGACCAATCTGTACACACCCTGCACTCACTACCACCATCTGACCTTTGTTCCCACTGTCCTCTCCCACCCCCAGCAACACTTCCTGCCCAGGTCTCTCCATCCCAATCAGTGTTCTTTGGGGACATTATAGCAAGAGTTCAAGAGCACGGGCTCTGCTTCTCTATAGCAAAGTGGCCTTGGGCAAGGGTCAGCTTCAGAAGCCCTGGTCTTCTCATCCACAAAGTGGTCACAGTAAAAATCTCTCCACCTCAAAAGGTTCTTCTGAGAGAACGAAATCTAAAGCACGTAGTACAGTGCCTAGCACACAATACACGTGAGCTGATATTATAACCTTTCCACACAATACACGTGAGCTGATATTATATAATCTTTCCAAAATCATTTTGGTGTCTCATCTATGAGGTGACGTTTCAAAACACCAGGAAGGAAAACTTCCAAAGGCTGTGAGGAAAGAGACCTGGGGGAAGTCGACGTTTGGTGAAAGAAACCCTCTCTGGTCGAAGAGTTTTATACTTCAAAAATCCAAGCAGTCCGGTGAAAGAAGAGCTACTGAGTCCCTAACTCGGGCAACTGTGACAGGATTTCTACTTGGGCATGGGGAATTGTTGACTGAATGTCCACAGTTGACTGAATTTATGATCGTAATTATTATCGTTTTCCACTTCTTCACCACCTTCTTCTCGTTATTCAGAACTGGCTTTCGACCTAGGGTTTGAAACCATATACACCACATACTAACTCACCAGGCTGCAAAGACTATATACACTCTTAATCCACCAAGCCCAGATCCCTAAATGTTTTAGAGATTCAGAAAGAAAGCACAAAAATTTTTCTACCTCCTGCCAACATCTCAGCATCACCTCGTATACATATTTGGACGCCAACTTCGGCCTGTAGAGTCGGTGGCCCCGGGTAACCATGGTTACCACTTCATAGTTGGTGTTTTTCTCAAAGGGCATCTTGCCTTCAGTGAATATTTCCCACATTAAAACACCTAGGAAAGGATAAGGATTACAAAGGATGCATCCACTGTCTCATCCGAGGAGAGCTGAGGAAAAATGAACCGTGTTCTTACCAAATGACCAGACGTCCGATTTGCTACTAAAGCGGCTGTAATTAAACACCTCAGGTGGACACCACTTCACTGGAAATTTTGCACCAGAAGAACTTGTGTATTGATCATCCAGGACATACCTAAAGTAAGACAAACCATAGGTTTACGCCTCTGAGTTACGAATTACATGTTGTACACGTTCTTTACATTTTTTTTGTTCCTCTTAGAATCAAAAACACAGTTGACTGAAGTCCAAGAAGCATCCGGTTGAAGCTAAATGTTTGCCTCAGTGGCCACGCCTGGTGATTTCCATCTTCCTCTCAGCTTCACTTACGTGCTTGAGATGGATGCCCTGTAACATCAGAATCTACACTTTCATTTTTCTGTGCGTTTTTCTTTTTTATAAGGCGATAGGGGCAGAACACATTTAAAGAGTTAGCAAAGTTTTTTGTTGTTTTTTTTGGGGGGGGAGAGGGGAGGGGTTAAGCAATTTTGTTCTTTAAACAGAATTTAACCCAAAGGCCCCACATGTAAAACATCTAAAGCGGAGCTGCTCTAAAGGAAGTGGTGCAGGGCGTTTGGGGAGACACGTGCTTTGGGCCCCCACGATTCCACAGAGTACAATTTACACCTACTGCAAATGAAAAAAGCAAATTGCAAAATGACATATGTCAATGGTGGCATATATATTTATATACCATGACATCCCTCCCACACACACACACGCACACTCACACACTCACACTCTCACATACACTTTCAAAACAATACTCTGTGATCTTTGCTATGCAAGCACACTTACATCTTTCTGGAAGGACACGCGCCACCTGCAAACTTCGGCTACCTCTGGGCAAGACCCGTGAGCAGGTGGGAGATACGGAGAACTCAGCCCTTCCTGTGATGTGCTCAGTATGTATTCACAAGAGGAATGCGTTTACGTAGGATCGGAATGTATAAAGCTAATTTCTAAAACCTCTGTGAGAAAACATTCAAATAATGGCACAAACTTCCTTTGCTGCATGGTAACCACGCTGCCACGAGTTGGCTTAACTTGCCTGTCCGTCGGGGTGGGGGGCGGTTCTGAATTTAATGTCTAACGAGTGTTTTAGAGGGGCTGGTGCAAAAGCACACATTTTCTGAAAGCCAAACACATAAAAAAAAAAAAATCAAACGTGAAACTAGAGGACTGTCAGGAGCTAAACGTGGCCTGTGTGTCCTGGGGCCGACGTGCCTGGCCCTGGACCAGCAGCCCTGGCCCTCTCTCAGCTCCTTGAGTAGGCCATGCGGGCCCCAGATTTTAAGCTTTTATACTCACTGTTTCTTCCACCTGGAAGAGTTTATCCTCAGATCTCCACCTAACTGGCTACTTCTGTCTTTTTGGTCTCTCTTCAAGCATCCCAGTCTCGAAGGGCCTCCCAGAGCTCCAGATCTGAAGCAGCTGCTGCTACCCCGCCCTGTACCATCGCTCAGCACTGCACCACCCCCCACCAGCCCCATGTGCCCCCTACCTTTTTCTGTAAAGGGCCAGACGATGAATATTTCCTATTTCTCGGGCCATACAGTCTCTGTCACCACTATCCAACTCTGCCTTCGTCGTGTGAAAGCAGCCACAGACAACACCCAACGAGTGGGGCTGGATCCCGATAACATCTTATTTACGGACACTGACACCTGAATGTCATATGATTTTCAATGTGTCCGAAAATTCTTTTCATTTTTGCTGACCATTTAAAAATTGGCAAACCACTGTTGGCTCACAAGCTGACAACAACAACAACAAGGTGTTGAGTCACAACCTGGGCCAGAGGCCTTGGTACACTGACCCCCGCACCGGCACATCACTGTGTTTTTCCTCTCTTGGCCATCTCTCGGTTCTTCTGTCTCTCTTTCTCCTCCTGAATACGAGCTGCATAGGGGCAGGGGCTCATATGCCTTATTCTCTGCTACGGGTCAGCCTAACACCTGGGTACACGGTAGGCACCTGATGTTCTTACAGAGGGATGCAGGGATGAGTGAATAGAGAGGAGGGAAAGGACAAACAATACTTTCTAAAGGTCTCTTCTAACACTCTTTTAAAAAATGACAAAAATTAAGAGAATGAAAACATAACAGACTTGGGGATTCTAAGAACGTTTACCCCTAAACACATTTCTGTGAAAACAAAAGACTCTAGGAACCCAACTCAGGCCAGGGAGAAATAAAAGTAGTATATTTACCAGGCTCTGCTACCACCTAGTGGAGACAATTATTAACATCGCAATGTATATATGCCTTTTTTTAAAAAAAACAAATTTATGTATTTCGCAGCAGCTAACAAGATTTCCTTGCTACTTCATCAGTGCAGATTACCCCCCGGGCTTATTAATTCTACAAGCTAATGTGACTATTACCGGACGCCACATAATAAAGCATAAAGCAGTTATTATTTCTCAACAATTTGTTTACCTGAGAAGCAGCCCGTGGTAACAGTCAAAACAGATACATTCAGCAAATAAATTTTTCAAAATACAGATCATCTAATTTATTTTATTGCCCTACATCAAAAACACACGAAGAAGCAGAAAAGTCAATTAGTTTTCCCATGAAAATGACGGATCCTACAAATATTTTGCTAACAGAACAAAAGATGTGGTTTAAAAACAGCTCTTCGGCAGCCCTCAGAGAAAGAAGCTGACACAGTCAAACTGCCAAAAAAAAAAAAAAAAGGTCGGCTTTCTGTGCCTTCAAAGGTTATGTATTAATTTAATCCAAAATTGACAGAAAATATTCACATAGACTCAGCCTTACCTGGCCATTCCAAAATCTGACACTTTCACAACTCCTGCTTCATTTACTAGACAATTTCTGGCAGCCTGGAAAGTAACATTTCAATGGTGTATTAGTTACAAAGCTTTACAGGGTAGAAAAATATAAATTCTGTTTATATTAAATTTAGTACATCCCAGCCAACATGGACAGAAGGTGGAAATGTCCCTTGATAAATTGGATTTATCGCTATGGAAATGTCTTCAACATATATTTGAAACAATGGGTAGAAAAATCAGAAAGACATAAGTGCAATAAGACTTGATTACATGACTTTACCAACTATCACATCTAAACGAAGACAAACCTGCTTTCCCCCCCTCCCATTTCTCTTTTTACTAAATTGTCAGGTTTTCTTATTGATGATGACATCTCTTGAAGTCCTTACTCCAGGTTCTCACTAGGTGAGTTTAATAACACACAACAAAGTGATAGGTAACTGATCTTTTACCCAATAGGTTTTGCTCAGTGATTGATCATCCTGATCTCAGTCCAAAAAAAAAAAAAAAAAAAAAAAAACGCCAGCCACATGTAACATAGTTGCCTTGTCATTAAATAATCCAGTATATTGTGATATGAATACGAAATTAGTCAAATGTAATTCTGGATTATTTAATGTATATTTTCTTACCCATTCTTTAAGGTTACAAGACTCAAGAAAACAGTTTGGTAAAAAGACACAGTATTTCTCAGAAGGAAAATAATATCTTTAATGCCATAACCTATGGACTAAGACACATTTTTTATTCCTGACACTTCTAGCATTTTACTCTCTGTAGGTGGCAATTCCACTTATATGAGATTATTCCTGCTGAATGTATTTTAAGAGTCTCTTCTCAAGTTCCCCAGATTTGTCCCCTATCTTCCTATAGAGATACCTTATAATTACTTCATTTCATGGTCAACAGCATTCTTTGCCCAAAAGGAGCATCCAATCCTCCCCTCAAGGGCGATACAAACTTACTATCGTGATGTCAGTATAATGAGTGCAAAATTATCAGAACTGCTTCCACCAAGATATGGTCTGTGTGGACAGATGCAGTCTACCATACGCAGGTAGGCATTGGACTTTCAGCAGTTTTGAAAGTACAAAAAAAAAAAAAAGAGGAAGGTGCTCAGTTCACAACTTCATTATTTTTTTTTTTTAAAGATTTTATTTATTTATGTGACAGGAGAGAAAGAACAAGTAGGGGGAGTGGCAGAGGGAGAGGGAGAAGCAGGCTCCCCACTGAGCAGGACCCTGGGATCATGACCTGAGCGGAAGGCTAACACTTAACAGCTGAACTACCCAGGCGCCCCAGTTCACAACTTTCAATATGACAAAGAGACATTCTTTATCATCACTGAGCATAACAACAATAATGAATGTTACATATATATCACATCTGTTTTACAGACTCTTTGCCCCAATCACATAGTTCGATCTTTAAAACAGTCTTGTACAGGAAAAGCCCAGGGCCAGATGGCTTCACTGGTGAATTCTATGAAACATTTGGAGAAGAATTAACAGCAAACCTTCTCAAGTTCTTCCAAAAAATTGAAGAGGAGAGATTATTGTCAATCTCATTTTGTGAGGTAAGCATTACCCTGACACTAGAACTAGATGAGGATACTACCAGGGAAGAAAAGTACAGGTCAATATCCCTGATGAACACAGATAAAAAGAAATCCTCAACAAAATATTTGCAAACGCAATTCAACAGCACATTAAAGGGACCATACATCATGATCAAGTGGGACTCATCCTCAGGACACAAGGATGGTTCAACATATGCAGACCAATAAATGTGATATACATACCACATTAACAAAATGAAAGATAAAAATCATATGATCACCTCAATAGAAGCAGAAGAAGCATTTGAGAAAATTCAACATCCATTTATAAAAACTCTCAACAAGTCAGTATAGAAGGAATATACCTCAACAAACTAAATAAAGGTTATGTATGACAAACCCACACCTAACGTCATACTTAGAAGCTAAAACCCTTCCTCTAAGATCGAGAACAAAACAATGATGCCCACTTAACCACATCTATTCCACATTACTGAAAGACCTAGCCAGAGCAACTAAGCAAGAAATAGGAATGGCATCCAAATTGGAAAGCAAAATCAAAGTTTCTGTTTGCAGTTGACATGATCTTAGGTATTGAAAACTCTAAATACTCCACCACCAAAAACAAACAAACAAAAAAAAATAGAATAGATGATCTCAGTAAAGTTGCATGATACAAAATGAACACACAAAAATCAGCTGCATTTCTATACACTAACAATGAAATAGCTGAAAGAAATTAAGAAAACAAATATACTTAAGATAGCATCAAAAACAGTAACATACATAGGAATAAATTTAACCACAAAGGCAAAATCCAGACCCTGAAAACTATAAGACTTCTGATGAAAAAACCTGAAGACAACACAAATAAATGGAAAGCTCCATGTTCATGGGTCGGGAAAACTGATATTAATGAAAAATCTGTACCACCCAAAGCCATCTACAGACTTGATGTAATCTCTTTCAAAAATCCTTTGGCATAGTTTACAGAAATAGAAAAAACAATCCTAAAATCTATATGTAACTACAAAAGACCTCAAGGAGCCAAAAACAGTCTTGGGAAAGACTGAGAACAAAGCTAGAGGCATCACATGGTCTGATTTCAAACTGTATACAAAGGTATAGTAATCAAAACAGTATGATACTAGCAGAAAAACAAATACAGACCATTGGAAAAGGATACAGAGTCCAGAAATAAATCCATGCATGCAACTAATCTTTGACAAAGGGGCCAAGAACACACAGTGGGGAAAAGACAGTCTCTTCAACAAATGGTGCTGACAAAACTGGATATTCACATGCAAAAGAATGAAATTGGATCTTGATCTTATACCACACAGAAAAATTAACTTGAAGTGGATTAAAGACTTAAATGTAAGACCTGAAACTATAAAACTCCTAGAAGAAAATATGGAAAATACTCAGACACGGTCTGGGCAATGAATTTTTGGTATGACACCAAAAGCACAAACAACAAAAGCAAAAATAAATAAGTGGCCTACATCAAACTAAAAACCTTTGCACAGCAAAGGAAACCGTCAATAAAATAAAAGGGAAAATATGGAATGGGAAAACATATTTGCAGAACCATATATCTGATAAAGAGTTAATATATGGGATCCCTGGGTGGCGCAGCGGTTTGGCGCCTGCCTTTGGCCCAGGGCGCGATCCTGGAGACCCGGGATCGAGTCCCACGTCGGGCTCCCGGTGCATGGAGCCTGCCTCTGCCTCTCTCTCTTTCTCTCTCTGTGACTATCATAAATAAATAAAAATTAAAAAAAATAAAAATAAAAAAAGAGTTAATATATAAAATACACAAGGAACTCATACAACTCAAAAAAGTAAATAATCCAATTTTTACAAGGAGCAAAGAACCTGAATACACATTTTTCAGTAAAAAACCCACATATACAAATGACCAAGAGGAAAAAAAAAACAAACAAACAAACAAAAAAAACAAATGACCAAGAGGTACATGAAAAGGTGTTTAACATCATTAATTATCAGAGAAATGCAAATCAAAATCACAATGAGATACTATCTCACACCTGCAGGATGGCTATTATGAAAAAATGCAAGAGATAACAAAAGTTGGCAAGGAAGAAAAAATGGAGAAGGGGGAACCCTTGCATACTATTTGAAGGAATGTAAACTGGCACAGCCATTATGGAAAACAGTATGGAGTTTATTTAAAAAAAAAATTGAAAGTATGATCCAGTAACTCTACCTCTGAATATATACCAAAGGAAATGAAATCAGAACCTCAGAGAGATCTCTGAACTCCCATATTTATAGGAGCATTACTCACAACAGCCAAGCTAGGAAATAATCTAACTTTCCATCAACTGATGAGTGAATAAAGATGTGGTATATCTATACAGTGGAATATTATTCAGCTAAAAAAACCTTAGGGCAACATGGATGAACCTGGAGGGCATTATGCTAAATGAAATAAGCCAGATAGAAAGGCAAATACTGTATGATACCATTTATATGTGAAATCTTAAAAAAATATAGAAGTCAATATGTTCTGAGGATCTAATGGATAGCATGATACCTATAATTCATAATACTTTATTGCTTACTTGTAATTTACTGAGAGTAAATCTAAAGCATTCTCACCATAGTGAGGTATGAATACAATAAATATGACTATGATAATCATTTTACAATGCATATATATATATTGTTATTATGTTGTTTACTTTAAATATAAGCAATTTCATCAATTATATCTCAATAAAGCTGGGGGGAAAACAGTCTTGTGAGCAAATGAATATTATAACCCACTCACAACTTATAAATACAGAAACAGATTCTAAGAGACATTCGATAACTACACTAAAACACATCAAGAAGTCAGGCCTTCTATTTACAAACTTTCAGCTCTTTATTATGCCCTAAGTTCAGAGAAGAAAAAGAGAGGAAAAAAAAAAAAAGAATGGAGGAGATAGGGAGAAAGAGTAGGAGAAAGGAAAGATTGTCTCCACCACCATATTTTAGAACCAATAATATTCCTTTCTCTAGTATTCTCAGCAGTTAACATGAGCCTCCATGTTTACCAAGTGATTTGAGAAATCAGAAAAATAAACCAAGGATTTCTGTTATAGCTTCTGCTTACATTGTGTGAGGTGGAAAAGAGGTCAGGATTTAGTGAAAGGATTTATACTCCCACGTTTATCACCTTACACAAGTCATTTCACTTCTCTCAAGCTAATTTTCTTATCTGTGAAACAATGATGATCAGAAAGCCTGTTGTGACTATCACATGGGATTCTTTTGGAGACCAAATAGTTAATATATGGTTAAGTTGCTCAGGAACAGTGACCTATATAATTATGTATTCTTTATACAACTGCCTATGTAATTATGTATTATACGTATTAGATTTAATCAAGATTTTTCTGTCAAAACTATGAGGTGAGTTAAATTTCCCAAGTTTAAAGATAATGGTGAAACATTGTCAGAAACAAATTGGAGGGGAGCCTGGGGTGGCTCAGTGGTTGAGCATCTGCCTTCAGCTCAGGTCACGATCCTGGGGTCCTGGGATCAAGTCCCACATCGGGCTCTCTGCAGGGAGCCTGCTTCTCCCTCTGCCTGTGTCTCTGCCTCTCTCTCTGTGTCTCTCATGAATAAATAAAATCTTAAAAAAAAAAAAAAGAAAACAGAAATTGGATATTAACACGTCACTGCTCATTTGCTGCCCCAGTGTGACGAAGGACTTCGGCCAGGGATGAGAATACAGGTGGTTATGATTACCAGATCTCTGTGGATGAAGCTGTTTCTCTCCAGGTACTCCATCCCTTCACACACATCTTGACACATGCTCAGCAGCACATCTCTACTCAAATGACCTTGTCTCTGTCGGAGGAAATTCAGAAGACAACCCCTTTCCATGAACTCAGTGACGATGTAAATTGGTTTCTGCTGGGTGCACACACCGTAAAGCTGCACTAGCTTCGGGTGTGTCAGCTTCCTGGGAGGGAAGTCATGCATACATACCGTTAACTATAGGAAAAGAAAACCGCAGGCCTATTAGGCTGGTGAGGGGCTACTTTCTGATGCAAAAAGAGGAATCAGAAAGCACGTGGTCACTTACATCATCACTTTAGCTTCTTCTATAAAGTCTTCCTCACACATGGCACCTTCCTTGATAGCTTTGATCGCCACCTTGTACTGGGCTCTCCACTTGCCGAGCCTCACCACTCCAAACAGTCCGCTCCCCAGTTCCCTCATAAAGGTCAGCTCTGAAGGGTTGATCTCCCATTTTTCTGTCAGACAGAGGGGGAAGGTGATAACGTTTAATAAGGAGAACACAGCGTGAATCAGCGGGAAGCAAAGAAACTACAACCAAGGGCCATGTCAAAGTTACAGGATAATGCAATTAGCAGTAAAACATAGACTTGCAACCTGCATCTAAACTACAGAAGGTGGCTTTCCACCCCCTGGGGAGGATGCGTCCTTCAAAGCTGTCACAGTTCAAGTAAAGCAAACAGGAGAAGGCAAAAGATGCTGAGTAACAGGCTAATAATAATAGAGCTTAAAGGTACTTAGGAATAAACCTAAATCAAATACTACCTTCTTACCATTCTTCCCCCCCCCCGCCCCCATGACATCAGCTTGGAAAGAATTTAATCTTCTGTTTAAAAGGCTTTTTGCTAGAAGCAGCAAAGACAATCAAGCTGGATGCCTTCTTTATTACCTTCATCCTTACTTTCCTGTGAATAACCAATCAAGCTGGTGAGAACCACAAAAGGATTTGATTTATTTTAGAAATGACATGGTAATGCTTATTCTTCACCCAGAGGAAGTTTTCTGCTGCATTATGAATAATGATGAAAACAGAAAACCTAGGGTTACCATAGCTACTAGTATAATCCCCTAAAAACCCGTATTATAAAACTATAAAAGCAGTTCCACTTACGTGGAATTCTAAACCTCTAAACTGGTCTTGTGGTAATGGTTTTCCCCCCCCCCAAGGAAAATCAGCCAATGCAACTAAAAAATGAGTTACCATAGCTGAATCCTGCAGTGGTTGGTGCATTCTTCTCCTTTGTACTAACTGGGTACCGCAGCCTTGTGACAAGTCCTGGAAGTCAGAGAAAGCACTGTGATTGAATTCATTCTAAATCATTCTGCATGGAAATGCACAAACTTAGATGCTCATGTATAAAGGTCATTCATTTATTCACTTAGTGCTCGTCCACTGTGTGTACACACAGCACTCTGCTATATGCTAACAAAATATGAAAAGAGCAGAAGGCAGGCAGGAAGAAGATGATCCTGTTCTTTGAACTGACAATTTCATATTTTTATGGAATATAAAAAACTTTTTAAAATACATTTTTATTCACCCAACAAACATGGCCTTTTCAATACTAAGTGTTTATCGAGCACTCTGCTAGCATATTCTCAAACATTTTAAAATTCTTTCACGTTCTTTTCCAATGTGATCTGAACTATGAAAGGGAATTACAGTAGTCTCAAAAATTAACATGAGCCACCGTGAGTAACTCAACACTAGCAATCTTATCATAAATATGGAGCTCTAAGATATCAACAGCAGGGACCCCAAGTCGCCAAAGTAATGCTGAAAAAGAAAAGCAAAGCTGGAGACATCACGATTCCACGCTTACAAACTATATTACAAAGCTATAATCATCAAGACAGTACGGTACTGGCACAAAAACCAACACACAGATCAATGGAACAGAACAGAAAACCCAGAAATGAACCCACAACCATATGGTCAACTCATCTTCAAAAAACAGGGGAAGAATATCCAGTGGAAAAAAGACAGTCTCTTCAACAAGCGGTGTTGGGAAAACTGGACAGTCACATGCAGAAGAATGAAATTGGACCATTTCCTCATACCATACACAAAAATAAATTCAAAATGGATAAAAGACCTAAATGCAAGACAGGAAACCATTAAAATCCCAGAGGAGAACACAGGCAGCAACCTCTTTGACCTCGGCTGTAGCAACTTCTTATTAGACATGTCTCTGGAGGCAAGGGAAACAAAAGTAAAAGTGAACTACTGGGGATCCCTGGGTGGCGCAGCGGTTTGGCGCCTGCCTTTGGCCCAGGGCGCGATCCTGGAGACCCGGGATTGAATCCCATGTCGGGCTCCCGGTGCATGGAGCCTGCTTCTCCCTCTGCCTGTGTCTCTGCCTCTCTCTCTCTCTCTCTGTGACTATCATAAATAAATAAAAAAAAAAAAGTGAACTACTGGGACTTCATCAAGATAAAAATTTCTGCACAGCACAGGAGACAATCAACAAAACTAAAAGGCAATCTATGGAATGGGAGAAGATATTTGCAAATGACATTATCTGGTAAAGAGTTAGTATGCAAAATTTATGAAGAATTTATCAAACACATAATCTAGCAAAGTAATGGGCAGAAGACATGAATAGACATTTCTCCAAAGAAGACATCCAGACGGCCAACAGGCACATGATAAGATGCTCAACATCACTCATCAACAGGGAAATACAAATCAAAACCACAATGAGATCACACCTCACACCAGTCAAAATGGCTAAAATTAACAACTCAGGAAACAACAGATGTTGGCGAGGATGTGGAGAAAGGGGAACCCTCTTGTACTATTGGTGAGAAAGCAAACTGGTGCAGCCACTCTGGACAACAGTAGGAAGTTTCCTTGAAAAGTTAAAAATAGAGCTACCCTATGACCCAGCCATTGCACTACTAGGCATTTACACAAAGGACACAAAAATACCGACTCAAAGGGGTACATGCATCCTGATGTTTATAGCAGCATTATCAACAACAGCCAAACTATGGAAAGATCCCAAATGTCCACTGACTGATAAACAGATAAAGAAGATGGGGCGTATATATACAATGGACTATTACTCAGCCATCAAAAAGAATGAAATCTTACCATTGGCAATGACACAGATGGAGCCAGAAGGTATTATGTCAAGCCAAATAAGTCATTTGTCAAGACAAATACCACATGATCTCATCCATATGTGGTATTTAAGAAACAAAACAGATGAACACATGGGAGGAAGGAAAAAGAAGGAAACAAACCATAAGAGACTCTTAACAATAGAGAACAAACTGAGGGTTGATGGAGGGGGTGAGTGGGGAATGGGCTACACGGGTGATGGGTATTAAGGAGGGCACTTATTGTGATGAGCACTGGGTGTTGTATGTAAGAGACGAACCACTTAATTCTACTCCTCAAACCAATACTGTATATTAACTAAGCAGGATCAAATTAAAATTGGGGAGGGGGAAAGGATATAAAATATCAACAACTGGGAACACCAACTACTGGAAATCAGTGAGGTAGGTTAGACACACAGCACTAAACATGAAGAAATGGCAGGTATCTCTCCTATAAGCACCCAGAGCACTCTTCGGTTACGACATATCTCACAGTAACTTTAAATTGTTCTATATTTCTGTGTCTCCCTCACCAGATGGTGAGGAGATGAGAGACAGGATCCTACCTGTGAGAGTCACCAGTGACTCCACCATAATCTCCCTAGAGCCAGGCAACAGTTCCTGGCATGTAATGGGCACTCGATACATGTTTGCTAAATGAGTGAATTTAGATAATGAAGAAAAAAATTTATACAAGAACACAGACACATAAAGAAATAAAGAAATGTGAACTGTAAAAAAAGAAAATAACAGAATAAGAGATCACAAAAAGTTCTTTGGGGGGATAAATTGATATATAAGTAGCTCCCCACATGTTAAACACAGAATTAACACATAACCCAGCAAAATCAGTCATAGGTAAGCCACCAAGAGAAGTGAAAGATATTTCCATGCAAAAACTTGTACACAAATGTTCACAGCAGCATTATTCAGAACAGCCAAAATGTGGAAACACCCCAGATGTCCACCAACTGATGAATGATGACAAAATGGATAAACGAAATTAACACAGTGGATTCTTATTTTTCAATAAAAAGGAATGGAGCACGTACAGAGGCTACAATATAGACAAATGTCAGAAACGTCACGTGAAGTCACACAAGCCAGTCACAACAGACCACATATTGTATGATTCCATCTATATGAAATGTCCAGAATTGGCAAATCTGCAGAGGCGGCAGGTAGATTACCGGTTACCAGGGGCTAGATGAACGAAAGGGGGACAAGAGGTGACAGGTGATGGGTACAAGATTTCTCTTGGGGATGACAAAAATGTTCTTAGATTACGGTGATAGTTGGCACCACTCTAAATATACTAATGACCATTGACCTGTATAGTTTAAATGGGTATATTTTATGATATTTAAAATTTTGCCCCAATGAACTAGTCCTATCATTAGCTAAGGAAATGGGCACCAATGGGGTTTCTGTTTTTTTTTGTTTTTTTTTTTCTTTTTTTTTTTTTAATTTATGATAGTCACAGAGAGAGAGAGAGGCGCAGAGACATAGGCAGAGGGAGAAGCAGGCTCCATGCACCGGGAGTCCGATGTGGGATTCGATCCTGGGTCTCCAGGATCGCGACCTGGGCCAAAGGCAGGCGCCAAACCGCTGCGCCACCCAGGGATCCCGGGGTTTCTGTTTTTGGTGTTTGGTTTGTTCCCATTCTGGTAGTGAGTATAGCAGAGATTCAAGAAGATGGAAAACTTCATGTCCAGGACATGATGACTCCAGTCTTTGGAAGCCAATAGCATAACCCTAAACCCTGAGCTTGTCTGGCAGCTTCAGTAACAACTCTAACATGGACATATCTTGGGTGTTCGTTTCATACCGCTGAAGAAAGGAAACTAGTCAACAACACTTCTACAGGCGGTAAGGCACATTTTATTCAGGACCACTGTGATTGGAATATGGACCACTGCAATGGGGTTTTAGAGCGTGACAGAGATTGGCCTCAACTCCAAAGCATGGACAAATGGGAATTTATAGCCAAGGAGCAGAGTAGGAGTCAGTGAATGGAAAATTACTAAGAGAAATGTCAGTAGGGGTTTCTGGGATACACCAATCTAACAGGATCTTGCTGAAGATAAGCCAGGGTGACCAGACATCACCTGGTGGAAAATAAGGAACCTGATCAGATATTGACAATGAGCGGACATCAGATGTCAAGGTGGGAGTTCTGGTTCAACTGACTTAGCAGAATTATTTTGAAAAACTGGATTTTACAAGAAAGCGCACAAATGGGTCAGGCAAAGAGCCTTTGTCAGCACCAAGGGTATAAATCACAGAAATGTGAACATTTATCATATACAACAAGAATAACCCATGTCCTAAGGTCAAGACAGCTTTTTGTGGGATTTAATATTACTTCCATTTTTTCTTTGTGTGTGTGTGTATATATATATCTCACTTCCTTAATATGCAATGATTTTTAATCACATTCTAAAATTAACTACAAACTGAAACTGCTCAAGGCAGAATTCATCACAGTGTCTGTTCATTTTAATCACTACCCTCTATTTGAAAAATGTTTTAATAGATCACTTACCTGCTGCGTTGTGCTTATGATATTCAATAATCTCGGGAATTGAACCAAAAGCATGTTTTTCGGCCAGATAATACTTCTTTGGGGATGTTGTTGTTTCCTTTATATGATAATGCCTGAAACCTGATGAGCCCTCCCTGAAATGGAAATCCAAATGTGTTAGCACCAAGCTGGAATCACTTAACTTCATTCTTAAGATATTTTCCACCAGGCAGCCACAGGTCCCTACATAGAGTCCCTTCTATTCTCTGTACGACTTTATTTTTCCCCATGTTCTTCTTAGCTTCGCCTTTCACATTAACAGATGGAAGTTTTTAAAGTGGTCACTGATAGTGTACTTGGCCCTTGCGTGAGATTATGAAAGAAAAGATTTACCAATTCCATTTACCAACAGTTAAAAGTCTTAAAGTCGCTATATTAGCTGGCTACTGTTCTTTGCCTTTGCTATTTTTTAAAAGATTTTATTTATTTATTTGAGAGAGAGAGAGCACGAGTGGGGAGAAGGGCAGAGACGCAGAGAGAAGCAGACTCCCCACTGGGCAGGAAGCCCAACCCGGAGCCGATTCCAGGACCCCAGGATCATCACCTCAGTGGAAGGCAGTCACTTAACCAACTGAGCCAACCAGGTGCCCCTGTCCCTGCTATCGAGGCAAACCTGCAAACATCTAGAAGACCTATACTTCTAAAAGTGAAAAAACAGACTTATAAAAAGTGTACAAATTCTATTTTAGAAAGCTTTCTAGAACACAGATCAAGTCATCCCTGGCCAAAAATCCTTTCAAGAGAACTGCCTCTGCTCTTAAAATAAAGCTTTTTGACATTGACGTGACCTGACCTCTACTTTTATCTCTTCGGGTTCTCTTTCCTCCCTACCCCACCCCTCCCATTCTGGCTATAATATGTTTTTGTCAGTTCCTGGAACTCACCATATTCTCACTCAATTCTGGGTCCAAGCAGTTTCCTAAATCAGAAACACTCTTTCCCCTCCCTCCGACTTCTGCCTGCATCACCCATCAGGTCTGGCTAGATGTCTTCAGAGAGCATTGGAGACTGACTGGGATACCTCTGGGCTATGGTACCCCAACCCCCTCCTGCTGCCACATACACACATTCTCTCCGAGCATAAGACTTTATGTACTACCTTAAGTGCCTGTTTGCTTGTCTGAATCCCCCACTAAGCTATTGGAGGGCAGGGTCTTGTGTCTACTTTGTTCACTGTGGTATATTTAGTGCTTAGTGCAGCACACGGTAATTATTTCTTGAATGTTGCTAAAGTTTCTGTAGACATTCTCAACAGATGAATGGAAAACCATAAGAAAATTACCAGGTATAGGAAATATGGATATAAGGAAATATGAATATAAAAAATAGGGAAGACTTTAGAAACCAAGTTTAGATTTCCTTGTTTAATGCTGAAATACAGCATATTTTTAAAAAATTAGGAATGCATATAAACTATATAGGAATTTCATACAAAAACACTTAGAGAGAGATGATTGATTGATTGATTGATCACTTACCCTCCAAACTTTGTATAAAGGGAGACGGTGTACATGCCTGGTTGACTGGAATCCCTTACCATAAAACCACCTTCTTTATCCTAAAATCCAAGTTAAGAAAATTTTTTCAACCCAATAACAAGTATCAATGCCATAGAGAAGATTCAAGAAACCAATCTTACAATTTCACGATTATTCTTTGCCTAGAAAATCTGCTTTGGAGAAGCACAATTTACAAACAGGGTGCATCTGCATGACTTTCCCCTTCACGTTACTGTGCTACGAGATTAGCTAAAGAATATACTCTCCCGATTCCCCACAATCACAAATCTTCACATACACCAGCATGAGACATTCCATTAATAGATCTCTCAGGGCCCTTCCAGAACCAATAGACAAGATTTTGCAATTCTTTTAAGTTGTGGACATGTGGGGAAACATTTACTAAAAAATGCATTTCTTAATAACAGGGTTTCATTTCATATACTTTTCATGTTTGCTATAAGCTTTGAATCCTCACTCAATATCATCTTCTATCCACATAGCATTTTCCCTGTAAATATCTCAGTGCTCTTTATAAGAATATTTTTAAAAAAATCCCTAATTCCCCTGGAAATCAATGTTAAATATCACTGTTCGGAAAAGGAGAGATGGAAGCACAAGTAAATCAAGCAGAAAAAGCCAAAAGACAAAACAACATGGAATGACTAAAAGAGAAGTCCTCATCAGGTTTGAAGCCAAAGAACAAGAAGCAGAAGCTAGGAACCTCCCATAGCTCTCCACCAATAACACCACAATCAGTCTCCAGCTCTGCAATTGCTTTAAGATGAGTGTGTTTAATAGTTGAAAAAAAAATAAATTTTATCATTCAAAGGAAAGACAATGAATTAAAGCCCCACAAATAAATCTGATGAAAACAATTAGGTGCAATTAATGATCATAATAGTTTACCGATCAGTAAAAAAGCGTAATAGCTACCATATATTTATTGAGAGCTTACTATGCTTTGGTGTATGTTCTAATATGTGGATCTATTTAATCCTCATAAATGTCCTATGAAACAGGTATTACTATTAACCCCGCTTTACTTCACAGGTAGGGAAATGGGGCACAGAGAGACTGGATACCTTGCCCCAGATCACACGGCTAGTAGGTAGCAGAGCCAAAATCTGGACCCTAGGCTTTCTAGCTACCCACCCACCTACAGCTGCTTCTCATTGTGCGGGGTCACAGGCAGGCATATAAGGGGAGTAGGTATGATAACATATCATTTGAATCAAGTAGTCACCTGCTTTTGCTCTCTCTCTCTCTTTTTCTTTAAAGATTTTATTTTTATTTATCCGAGAGACACACAGAGAGAGGCAGAGACACAGGCAGAGGGAGAGGCAGGCTCCCAGCAGGGAGTCCAACCCGGGACTTGATCCCAGGACCCCAGAATCATGACCTGAGCCAAAGGCGGATGCTCAACCACTGAGCCACCCCCGCTTTTGCTCTCTTAACATAAACTACAGATATAAGTGTCTAGCAAAACCCTGACTGGTGGTAATAAGCAGGAGATAAAAAGAGAGCATGGGTTTAAAAAAATTGAGAACTACTAAGTAGAATAACAAGATCATAAATGCAGATAATTATACAGATCATCATCTAATCCAACCTCCTTATCTTACAGATGGGCAAAAGAGACTAGAAAAGTCACAGCTAGACTCAGGTCTCCCGACTTGGTCCACTGTAGCTTCCTCTATACTATATCTTACCCTTTCATTTATTTATTTTTTAAAGTGTAAGAATATTAAAACATTATTATTATTAGGCATATTTATCTCTAAAGGTAACTCAATACTTATTAAAACTTTATTTATAAAAGATATCAGGTAATACTGATGTAAATTTTTTTTAAAAAGTAACTTCAGGGATCCCTGGGTGGTGCAGCGGTTTAGCGCCTGCCTTTGGCCCAGGGTGCAATCCTGGAGACTCGGGATTGAGTCCCACATCGGGCTCCCGGTGCATGGAGCCTGCTTCTCCCTCTGCCTATGTCTCTGCCTCTCTCTCTCTCTCTCTCTCTCTCTCTCTCTCTCTCTGTGTGTGTGTGACTATCATAAATAAATAAAAATTTTAAAAAAAAGTAACTTCAAACAAAAGGGAAAAACACATTTAAGTACTAACATCAAGGTAGCAAATAATAAATCGGTGAGAAGGGAAGTAATGAAAATGCTACCAATGTATTAGCTGGTACCTATTTTTCGAATGTTGGTCATTACGCTTTAATTAATTAGCCCAAATATATTAATTCAATTAACCTACTAGGTATAACAGTATGGGTTCATTTCCCCCTCAAAAGAGGTACATTGGAGCCCTAACCCCTAGTACTTCAGAATGTGACCTAATTTGGAGATTTACAGGGGGAATAGGGCTGAAATGAGATCTTTAGGCTGGGCCCTAATTCAATGGTGGGATCCTTAAATGAAAGGGAAATCTGGACACAGAGACAGACATGCATGGAGGGATGAAACACAGGGGAAAAGGCAAGAAGCCTAGAACAGATCCCTCCCTCACAGCCCTCAGACAGAGGAACCCTTCTGGCATCCTGATTGCAGACTTCCATCTAACTCTAGAACCATGCAACAATTCACGTCTGTTGCTTAAGCCACTCAGTTTGTGGCTCCTTGCTTTGGCGGCCCCAGGAAACTAACACTATACCGATCCTCCATTTTAAATGATTAAAAAGAACCACTTACATCACAGTGTTTTTTAGGCTAGAGAAACAGTTGTGTGAAATCATTTCTCAGAGATTTGTCATAATTATTTTGTGCTGAAACCAAACCCACAAAACAAGTACAAAACACTTACTTCACTTCTGAGAAGCTGCTCTGCTTTGCTTCTGTTCGTGTTTCTGCAATACCACCTGAACAGAAAAAGGATGTTGAAAACCTCGGGTTTTTAAAATTATTTTTTATTCTTTGTAGGATTAACAAGGTAATACTGCTCATCAACAAATAAAATTAATAAGAACAGAATGTTACTCACAAGCTCAATAATATAAGCAACCGCTAGTAACATTTGGATACATATACTTTCAGACTTCTTCTACCCACCTCTTTTTATGAGGATACACACACATGCCAACATTTGTATTTTTTTTATTAAAGTGGGATCAAATGATACTTGCTATATCATAACCAGAATTTTTTAAATATAACAGTATATGAGACATTGTTGGAAAGCAATCTAGTTTTCTACATCATGGTATGGATATGCCATAATTTATTTAAGCTATTCTTTATTATTTAAAACAAAAATCATTTCTAATTTTTCACTATGGTAGGGATAACAAGAACAAATTTCACTGCACAAATTCCAACATGTAGGAAACATTACCTTCCTTTCATTATTGTATTTAATTCAAAGTAAATCTTACCCAAGCCCCCATCCCACCAATAGGCTGTAGATTTCATCTGAAGTCTAAACGGAGGCTCCTCCATTGAATTTCACAAAGGTCCCAAGTGCCAAAAGAAGCAGAGTAAATAGAAGAGTACGCTTCCTGGGTCTTCTAGACTTACTAGTTGCAACACACCCCCCCCCCACCCCTCGGAATATATACGAGGCTCTACTGTAGGGATCGTGCCATAGCCACGCAGCAATGCCTGCCCTCCCGCCAGTCCTGCCACCACTCCATGCGACAACCCCAAACCCTTGCATCTCAAAGCTCCTTCTTAATCCTTGGGAAATCTTTTCCAAGGAAAGGTGGAAACTGCCATGGCCCACCTCATCCTCAGAGACGCTCAGCCCTCTCCCTGCTTCCCCAGCCCAGTCTTTCCATGATATTATAAGTCGGCCAAAGAACATGAACTCAGACCGTCTTTTTTAGCTTTCTGCTTTAAACTTTTTATTGTTGTTTGTTTTGGTCGGCTTGCTTTAGATGTCCTTTAGTGAGCAGAGAACCTTCCACCACAGTCCAATTTCTTGAGACTTCCAATGTTATGAAAACAGAGTGACCCCTCTGGACATTTTTGTTTCCCATCACTGGTTCAGCCTTTTATAAAAGAACCAGCACCTGCCTTTGACCCAGCAAGCACCCTGAGACAAGTGAAAATAAAGGCCTTCCCTGATTGTGGAAGGGAAAAATACAAAGAACAAAATATAAGATCTTTTTTTGGCCTAGATTCTTTATGCACTTGTAGCAGTCAAGCTACAATCTCAATACAGTAACTCTTATTTTATTTGGAGCCTGAGGTGATTAACTGGAGTTGTGGGCATTAAGATCTCCTTGTGGTGGACCCCACTTTATGAACTGAGACCGAGTTTAACAAAAGTGCAGCTGTAATCAATCAATTTCTGGATGCAACAGAGAGATACAGTAAATGAGGAGAATGGAATGGATTCTGTCCCTAAGCTTTTCCACTGATACAAGACACATTTATCAGAATGTCAAAAAAGTCATAAAAATTAATTAAGGAAAGGCAACTAGAGCTCTCACAGTGTATTGTAAACCAGCAGGACCTGAAAGACTGGGGGAAAAATTATCTTTATAAATAACAAAGACCCAAGCCCGTATTTTCACAGCAATAGTAAGCAATGGAGGTTTAGTCTCGCATTCAGATGGAAGAAATCAGTAAGCCTATCTCAAGAGGAAATTATATTTAAGATATTCAGAGACAGAATGAGGTCCTTTCCCATCTAGTACATTCAGCTCTTGGGAAGGACAAGGGGATATAAGAAAGAAAAGGAGGGACACCTGGGTGGCTCAGTGGTTGAGCATCTGCCTTTGGCTCAGGTCGTGATCCTGGGGTCCTGGGATTGAGACCCACATAGGGCTCCCTAAAGGGAACCGCTTCTCCCTCTGCCTATGCCTCTGCCTCTCTCTCTCTCTCTCTCTGTGTCTCTCATGAGTAAATAAATAAAAATCTTAAAAAAAAAAAAGGGGGGGGAAGAAAGAAAAGGAATCCATGCCACAAAATACAGGTAGGCTTTTTAAAATCCCAAATAGGATCATTCTTTACGGCATTTGCAGATTCCCTGGAGAGGGTATTTTTCCCTTCCTAGGATATAAACCCAGACCTTTGAGAATATGTTGAAGGAAGGAAAGGAGGAAGGGGTGATAAACAGATGAATCAATTCGTGGTGTTTCCCAATGGCCTGTTGTGCATTCCCTCCCTCCTCTGTGATACTTCTCACTAGGGGAGAAGGGAGGGACAGTGGTGCCTCTGCGGCACTCATCCTGGTGAGAAGAACTCTACACAGAGGTAATGGTGAGGGAGCCCACCTGGTGAGCAGGAGCCCTGGCGCAGATGCCAGCCCACCTCCATCTCTCCTCGCCCGTCGCAGAGACGCCTCTCTGAGAGAGAGTGTAGTGAGCTCCCCCTGATGAAGGAACTCACTCTACACCTAGAAAGAATAGCCTAGGATTTGTAAATAACTTGTCAGTCCGTCCGTCCCTAGATGCCAAAACCTGATGTGAATGAGGTTTTCAGATTGGCTAGTCATTTCGAAAACATTCTAGAGGATCAGGACTTCACAGTGGTGTTTGAATAGAAAAGGAGATGTGGGGAAACACTCTGTCTTTTCTGGGAAGTTTGGATGCTTGGCAAGCTTCTTGGGGAGGATGTGTTGAATAAATTACAAAAGGAAGACAACCAGTTTAAATGAGGGAAAAACAGAAACCAACAAACCAACCAACCAACCAGCTATAAACCTTTGCTGGTTCTCTAATTTGACCCTTTCCTCCTGAGCCACCCACTCAAAAGCCTTATCCTAGATTTTGCCCTGTTCTAAGGCCCTTTCCTGTCTGTCACCTCCTGCCTTTAACATCTTTCCATCAAAAACATGTCATGACCATCACCAAGATCCCACTTTTCTCCGGCAGCAGCTCCTCTGACCCTCTGCTCCTCAAACAGGAGGAGCCTGGGTGTTGCCTCGGTGTGGAGGTCAGAACTAGACTCAGATAGCCCTGAAAGCCTCGGGCCTGGCAGTCCTGTGTCCAGCCCTGTGGACAGTCTGTTGCCTGGGACTCCCAGGCCCAAACAAACAGCAGAAGAACTCTTGATTCAATAGCTGGCAAAAGGTTTTTAACCCTGGGGACATTCAAGACGTGTTACAGCAGGGGCTGTAGCGAAGAACAACACAAATATTGGCATGGGAAGGGAGTGAGAGAAGACTGGGGATCTCCGATGGTCTACTCTGAGAGGAGGTTTCATCTTTCTCATTGAGCGAGGCACGGCACATGCCATGTGGAATTCCTGACCCTGGGTGGAGGGCTGCGGGGATTCCCACGCCAGACCCTACACAGCAAATTCATTTAGTCACACTGAGGAAGAGGGGAGTCCCTTAGAAGAGAGGAAATTTCCAAACTAAGATAAATCCAAAAAACTCATGGCGATGAATCATAATCTCCATAAAATCCTTATTTGTAATCCCATGAGTCCAGGGAGTTCTCACAGTTAGATAAGGATTATGTGGCTTCCCCAAGCACAGCCCAGAAACATTATTTATTTTACATATTTTTTGTGCTGTTACCTATTTCTTAAACAACTTCCAGGGAATCACATCACTGAGCGCTATTCATCTTTTTCTAGATTTTAAGGTACACTCACATTACAGAAAGTGCTATGGACGGAAGACACAGCTTTTTAGTGCTGGTGGTGGTGGTGGTATTTTTTTTTTTAAGATTTTATTTATTTATTCATGAGAAACAGAGAGAGAGAGGTAGAGACACAGGCAGAGGGAGGAGCAGGCTCCCTGCATAGAGCCGGACATGGAACTCGATCCGGGGACTCCAGGATCATGCCCTGGGCCGAAGTCAGTGCTAAACCGCTGAGCCACCCGGACTGCCCGGTAGTAGTATTTTTAAATAAGTGAATGAAGCATCAGAATGACCACAAAAGTCTATTTGGTGTATATTAGCCTCTTCTCATGTACTACTAGTGGGTATAAAAATAGTATGCCCATTACTTTCTCTGGAAAGTAACTGGACAGCATGTATTAGGAATATTTTTCTTTTTTTAAGATTTTATTTATTTATTCATGAGGGACAAGGAGGCAGAGACATAGCAGAGGGAGAAGTAAGCTCCTTGCGGAGAACCTGATGTGGGACTTGAGCCCAGGACCTTGGGATCACGACCTGAGTCGAAGGCAGACACTCAACTGCTGAGCCACCCAGGCATCCCAATGCATTAGGAGTCTTAACAAGTTCATAACTAGCCTTTAGCCCAGTCCATAAATTTTTAGAGATCAATTTAAAACAATAAGCAGAAAGAGGTTATCCTGGTTATTATTACATAGCAAAGATGCCAAACACCACAATACCGTACAAATAAGGAAATGGTTACACAAATTATTGCACAAGCATGTGCCATGTGCCTGGTTGTATCTGCTAAGGCCTAGCACAGTGCCTCAGACATCCTAAGACCTCAGTAAATACTTGATGAATTTATGACTGAATGAAATATAATGCAGTCACGAAAACATTTTTGAAGACTATCTAATGGCATGAGGAAAATTCACATTCCATATACTGTGAAGTAGAATAAAGGAGATAGGACACATACACAGCATGATTCCATAAAAAATTTGAAATGAAATTTTCATGTTAACAGAGGTCAACTCTAGTTGAGTTAGGGGTAATTTTTCTTATTGACATTTTTCATATTTTGAAACAATTTTAAAAACAGTACTCATATATTGCTATTATAGTTAGAAAAAAAGCAACAAACTTTTTTTTTAAAGATTTTTTTTTTAAGATTTTATTCATTTATTCATGAGAGACGCAGAGAGAGAGAGAGAGAGAGAGAGAGAGAGAGAGGCAGGCTCCATACAGGGAGCCTGATGTGGGACTCGATCCTGCGTCTCCAGGATCACGCCCTGGGTCAAAGTCAGGTGCCAAACTGCTGAGCCACTCAGGGATCCCTAAAGATTTTTTTAGTAATCTCTATACCTAATGCAGGGCTCAAACTCATAATGCCAAGATCAAGAGTCGCATGTTCTACTGACTGATTCAGCCAGGTGCCCCCAAAACATGTTTTTTTTTTTTTTAAAAGGCTACTCTTGGAAACTGTATTCTGATTTCTTGAATGAACAACAATCTGTATTTCAAAGTCAGCTAAACTTGATTTGTTTACAATCGGTTCAATTGTATTTGCCCGTGTAACTCCATTCATACACAGTTCCTTCAGGTAACATGTATTGCAGGAACTAATTCTCACATCTTTTACCAATCTAGAAAACTGAGTTAATGGAAACTATCCATTAATCTCCCAAATGCCTTAAATAACTAGGAAAATTAAAACATTTTTTGGTTCTCCACATTCACAAAACAACCATTTACTTACTCATATTGGTCTAAGTTGTTTGATTTCTTTCCTGTTACATAATTACTTGGGATATATCCTTCACTCCTGGAAAAAAGGAAAATGCTTTAGGTAAACTGAAACTATTTTACTGAGAGGTTATTAAAAGAAAAAAATATTGCTCTTATGAAACAATTAGAGCATTATATTGCTTAAAGCTTTAAGTAAAACTAGTCAATTCCCAAGAATTCAATATATCTGTAGCATTTGATGCTTTACAAAGTATTTCCTCATTTGACCTTCCCTACAATTTGAGGTAGGCAGGCACTACTGTCCCTACTTCCTGGTGGTCAAATCAAGGCTTAGAAAGATTAAGGGACTTTCTCCAGGCCCCAAAGCTAGCCATAGGGCCAGAACTTAAAATCTGAACTTGTGACTAGGTATGGAGCTCTTCTGAATATTCCATGATGCTTCTCTGGAATTTACAATCTCTTGGGATGTTTGAAAGAAATCACTATTTCAGAAACATTGAAGTGTCAGATAAAAACACCCATTTTGCCAATACTCCAACAAGTGCATGTAGAACACTATTTCATAGAGGGTAGTCCCTGGCCTCTACATCAGCATCATTTGGGACACTTGCTAAAAAGACAATTCTTGAGTCACACACTAAGAAAATTGAATGAGAAGGTCAAGGAAACTTCAGTTTTACCCCAGATGACTATTACACACGTTAGAGTTGAAGAAGCCCTCATACTTGAAACTTGCTAGAGAAAAATCTCAAATGCTCAAATGAGGGCTCTTTTCACTTGATTGTGCAAATCATTTCGCAATGCATACATACATCAAAATGTCATGTTGTACACCTTAAATACATGTAATTTTTATTTGTCAATCTTACTTCAATAAAACATAACATTTTAAAAAATTAAAAAAGAAGCAATCATAATAGGTAGAATCTTGGTTAGCAGTCAAGATTGTAGTGTAAAAGACATACACGTATAAAATTTTAAAACTGAGTAAAATCCTTGTATTCTTAAATTTGAATTGGAACTATTAGTAAGAACTCATAATACACAAACACACACACACACACACACAAGTACATATATGTAGCTCTGTTGTACTGAGAAAGGCCTAGAAACAATGACAATTCTAGGAGTAATTAGAATCCTAGCAATCCAATTGTTGTCCAAACACTATCTCACTAAAGAAAAGCCAGGATTCCTTGGGAAAATGGCACATTGAAGGTCTGGCCAGGCAAAATACAAGATGAACTTGAGCTGTTTCATTTTACCCATAAAGCAAGGAAGCTAAGAAAGATCAAAGAGGTCCCAACCAAAACCAGCTATCACTGACCTAAGATAGGTCAATTCAAGCAAAAAAGAATAACGACCACAATGGTTGCAATATGCATCCATAATAATCCTTAAAACAGGGATCCCTGGGTGGTGCAGCGGTTTGGCGCCTGCCTTTGGCCCAGGGCGCGATCCTGGAGACCCGGGATCGAATCCCACATCGGGCTCCCGGTGCATGGAGCCTGCTTCTCCCTCTGCCTATGTCTCTGCCCCCTCTCTCTCTCTGTGACTATCATAAATAAATAAAAATTTAAAAAAAAATTAAAAAAAAACAAAAAAACAATTATTGGTTACCACTGTTATCACTAGGGGAGGCTCAGTCATCAACTGATTATCATTTTGAAAATTGATAAAAGGAAAAAAAAATCAAAAATTTTTCTTGCCTTTGTTGCACAAACTAAATAAACTGGTTGATGAGGCAGTTCTTTAGAGAGTCAATAAATGCAGACAGAATGACAAAGCTAGAAAATTACCATTTTACAACCCCTAATGAAATAATGGATCTAAGCACTAATCACTAATGAATGCCAAAATCATTAGGTGAAACCCTGATGAAGAACTTTATCATCAGCTGGACCACTGAGTCATCTTCACCTCATTAGAAGTGGGACAACCAGATATCAACTTCTAATGATCAAGCCTCTAGATTACAAGTTATAGGAAATAGAGGCAGAGACATAGTAAATGACACCATGTGAAAGCAATTAGCTTAATCTAGATTGTGGCTCATTTTGTAGGGTAAATGACCTGGTTTCATCAATAAGTCAAAAATGGGGGGGAAAAAAAAGGATGGGAACTATTGTAGAATAAAAGACAAATCAGCCAAAGGCAACTTTCATCTTAATTAAACTAAATAAATATTTATTAGAGCTAATGAAGGGGAAATGGAATTACATAATCAGTACCATCCTTAGACCTTGACCAGAAGGTCCCCTGCCATGACCTCACACTTTCAAGAGATGCTAAATTCTGTGTTCTCTCAGCCCTTTTCTAGATCATCATCTGGGTAACGAGGACCCCCAAATTCTCTGTCCATTGCTAAGGCCAACGCAGACCTTTCCACCTTTCATACTCTGAAAAGCAAATTATTCTGGTTATGTGCAACTCCATCTAGCCCAAGTCCAAGGAGTGGCCAAGCTGGGAAGTGGATTCTACAAGAGTTGTGGACAGAGCTTGGATATATGGCTGGGAGATCCACATGGTGCATGGGGGTTGGTGCTGGGGAAGAAGGGAACAGGGAAGGAAAGCACCCCAGAGAGCCAGCCCTCCGTGCACAGTCACATTCAGGCATGGGACTCCAATTCAAACCTTGCTTTCTTGTCATTTGGAAGGTACATTTGTCAAGTGAAAGGATAAATATTATTTTATTTACCAGTTTGTTAGCCTGACTTAGGGTTTCCAAATATTTAGATATATGACATGCGGACTTTCATTTGTATTCTTCCCCCAATCCTGAAAATGTTAGGGGAAAATCTACAGGTGGTATTTATTTAATTATTATTAAGTATGATAATGACATAGCAGTTGTTTAAAAACATCTTTAGTGTTAGACTTAGGGGTGAAACGACAGAATGATTTGAATCTACTTTTAAATACTCTAAAAAAGGGCAGCCCCGGTGGCACAGTGGTTTAGCGCTGCCTGCAGCCCACGGCATGATCTGGAGACCCTGGATCGAGTCCCACGTCAGGCTCCCTGCATGGAGCCTGCTTCTCCCTCTGCCTGTGTCTCTGCCTCGCTTTCTCTCTCTCTCTCTCTCTCTCTCTCTGCATCTCTATGAATAAATAAAATCTTTAAAAAAAATAAAATAAAAAATAATAAAAATAAAAAATAAATACTCTAAAAAAAAAAAACCACCAAAAAACAATTGGGAGGATTGGGAAATAAGTCCAGAAATGAAGTGAGGAATAGAGAATTATAATTGGGGGATGCAGCAAGGAGGTGAGAAAGCAGATTTGGAGGGAGGGTATGCTCTGGCCAGGACAAAAGAATTCCTCCTTTTTTCATCCACAGGAACTCAGAATTTAAACAGGATTATATTTCAGAGATAGGCACAGGATATTGTTTCTTTAATAAAGCCTAAAAGATACCCATCTCCTACATTTATCCATATTTACTCATCACTTACCAATGCTAAGGTTGAAATGACTGTTCCCTTAAATCCAAAATTATTTTGTACAAATAATGCTTGTTTTTAAGCATTTCTTTCTCTTTTTTAGATTTTTAGATTTATTTGAGAGAGAGCAAGGAGAGGGAAGAGCAGAGGGAGGGGAAAGAAACTCAGACTTCACCCTCAGTGCAGATCCTGATGCAGGGCTTGATCCCACCACCCTGGGATCATGACCTGAGCTGAAATCCAAAGTCAGACACTCAACAGACTGAGCCACCCAGAAGCCCCATTTTTAAGTGTCTTGCTTATATGTGTATATATGTATTTTATACAAACACACAAATGCACGTATGTGCACACACATATACACATACACACATTCTCTATCTCAGAAAAATGTAAGATTACTTACCTCAGGTGAGAAAAACCTACAATGTCACTCCTCCAGGATCAAAATAATCGATTAAACATATAATGAATGAGAAAGAGACAAATGTAATACATTCTAATTTCTAGAAAGAAGTGGCTGATCCATTTACATTTATTGAGTCATGACTAAGAATACGTTGTGTTACTGCAAATTAATAACGTGTACTTTCATTTACCTTTGGCTGAACTAGTCTCATTACATAATAGTTACAGATGATCCTTTTCTCACTCAGCACTTAACTTCCAACCCAACCCACCCACTGCGTGTCATACACAGAGAGGAAACCCTTACCCGTATTTATCTCTTGCTCTCCACCAATGAACATCATTCTTTTCTAATATAATATACTCTTGTCCTCTCTCTAATCTGAGATCATGTGCCTCTGTTGCTTGGAAATCGTACATGGCTACAACGATTTCTTCACTATTATCCTCTTCTTCAGGTGGAATTGGTGGGGGAGGCCTTCGCTAAAGAAAGACAACAACATATGAAAATTTAGTCATTCTGTTTGAAACTGGGTGTGAAGTAAAACATTAAATGACTCACACACCACCAGAGAATAAAGCAGAAACCTCAAGTCTACCTAATACAATTTGGGGAACCCTCTCATGACTTTGATGATATGGGTGCTACTGGGTTTCAAAATATAGGACATGAGTAAAAACCCTCTTTAAACATCAAAAAGCCTTTGTTCGGTGTCAGGGTAGCCCTCCCAGGACAGCAATGCACAGTATGTGAGTAGAAACCAGAGGACTGGGCAGCCCCGGTGGCTCAGCGGTTTAGTGTGGCCTTCAGCCCAGGGTGTGATCCTGGAGACCTGGGATCGAGTCCCACGTTGGGCTCCCTGCATGGAGCCTGTGCCTGTGTCTCTGCCTCTCTCTCTGTGTGTGTGTCTCTCATGAATAAATAAACAAAATCTTTAAAAAAAAAAAAAAGAAAAGAAACCGGAGGACTAAAGGTAGACCCACCATTCAAATGGCCTGCAAAGGGGAAAAGGTACACTGGAAAATGAGTCTTTCATCAGGTCTCCTCTCTCAGAGCAATCTGCATTTCTTTGTGCCTACTATGTGCAAGACATGCACTTAGTACCTAACACACTTTTTCTCATTTATTCTTAATATTGATCCTATGAAACAGAGCATATAATTCCCATTTTACAACTGAGGAAATAGTGGTTTAAGTAATCCACCCAGAGTCACTCGTACCACATCACATTGGATCAGGTGCTATCTGGGTCCCAAGTACATGTGTTTCCAACCCTCCCCCACTATTCAAAGGCATATCGTTAAATCACTGAAGTCACTTCTTTGTCATAATACTGTGGTCTTAAGACTGAAATATTCCTTTGAAGTCCCACACCTCTTCTACAATTCCTGAGGCCAAAATACAAGCAAAATGCCAGATGAAGAGAGGGCTCCAATGATAATCTCTGATATAATTAAGTTAATATTATTTGATACCAAAAAAAATCAACAAATCCTTAGTATATCTGTTTCTGATATGATATGTGGGGGAAAAGGGGCAGAATCATGTGAATGAGTATAAACTTAATTTATTCAAGCTGCAAATACTTCCAAAAGGTAAAGACCACCTACCTTCTTTGTTTCTGGTGCTGGAGGTAGTGCTTTTTTTATACCTGAAAATGACAACAACAAAAGTAGGTTAAAATGCCAGCTACCAACGACTGAGAGTTTTAACAAAAAATGAAAATGAACACATAGACAAGAAATCGACTTGGAATCTCTCACTCTGGTGCACGTTGCTTGTATCACTATTTCAGAGAAGAATTTAAAATGCTATAAGCTTGTCTGTTTTCTGCCTTCCTGAATGGGCTAAATGCCAGAGGGATCAGGGCAACATTCTATTCTTGGTAAACAAGTGAGAGTGCGACAAACTAAAAAGCTTCTACTCGGCAAAGGAAACCATCAACAAAATGAAAAGGCAGCTTAGAGAGGAAGAGAAAATACTTGTAAACCACATATCTGATACAGGGTTAATATCCAAAATATACAAGGAAGTCATGTAACTCAATAGCCAGAAAACTCAAGTAACTCAATTTAAAAATGTTGCAAAGGGCCTGAATAGCTATTTTTCCAAAGAAGACATTCAGATGGCCAAGAGGTACAGTAAGAGGTGCTCATTGTCTGTCATTCATCATCAGGGAAATGCAAATCAAAACCACAATGGAATGTCACCTCAAACCTACCAAAACAACTACTATCAAAAACACAGGAGGTAACAATTGCTAGGAAGGTGTGGAGAAAAGGGAAGCCTCGTGCACTCTTGCTAGAATGCAACCACTATGGAATACAGTATGGTGGCCCCTCAAGAAATTAAAAATAGAGTATCATATGACTCAGCAATCCCACTCTGGGTATATACACAAAGCGAAGGAAAGCAGTAACTTGAAAAGATATTTGCATTTCCATATTCACAGTAGCATTATTCACAATAGCCAAGGTATGAAAACAACCTAAATGTCCATCAACGGATGAATGGATAAAGAAAATGTGTGTGTGTGTGTGTGTGTGTGTGTGTGATGGAATGCTGCCCAGCTTTTAAAAAGAAGGAAATCCTGCCATTTGCAACAGCACGGAGGGCATATATTAAATGGATAAGCCAAACAGAAAAAAAAAAAAAAGACAAATATCATATGGTATCACTTACATGTGGGATTAAAAAAAAAAGTCAAACTCATAGTAACAGAGTAGAAAAAGTGGTTGCCAGGAGATTGGCGGTGAGGGGAGGGAAATAGAGATGTTGGTAGAGGGCACAAAGTTTCACTTTTAAGTTGAATCAGGTCTGAGGGTCTAATGCATAACTTGGTGACTTGAGTTGACAACACTGTAGTGTGTAACTGAAATGTACTAAGAGAGTAGAACTTAAATATTCTCGCACAAACACACAAAAAGGTAAAAACACGTAAGGTAATGGATGTCGTAACTAACTCCATGGGAAGAGTTCTTTCATGACACATAAGTATACCAAATCATCACACTGTACACTTTAAATAGCTTTTAATTTTATTTGCCAATTAGACCTTAATAAAGCTGGGGGGGGGGAGCTGCTGATGGTGCCACACTAGGTTCACACTTTAATAGGGTCGCTTTGAGCAGGCTTCCATATTGTGATAAAAGCTCTAGGGGCACCTGGGTGGCTCAGTCGGTGAAGGGGTTGCCTTCAGCTTAGGTCATGATCCCAGGGTCCTGGAATCAAGCCCTGCACTGGGGCTCAGCAGGGAGCCTGCTTCTCCCTCTCCCCCTACTTGTGTTCTCACTCACTCTGCATACTCTTCAATCAATCAATCAATCAATCAATCAATCAATCAATCTCTTGAAAACAGACCTTTTGATTCCATGGAGACAGCCCCACTGCTAAATAAACATAATTATTCATACAAAATACACCCACTGGGGATCCCTAGGTGGCTCAGAGGTTTAGCGCCTGCCTTTGGCCCAGGGTGTGGTCCTGGAGACCCAGGATCAAGTCCCACGTCAGGCTCCTCACATGGAGCCAGCTTCTCCCTCTGCCTGTCTCTGCTTCTCTCTCTCTCTCTGTATCTCTCATGAATAAATAAATAAAATCTTTAAAAAAAAAAAAAACACCCACCCTACACTTACACGGTGCTATAAGGTGTAAAGGTCATAGTTAACCAACATCAAAATCAAAACCAAGCCACTTTCACACTATACCAATGGTATGTATATCCTGCACACGTATAATTACAAAATAAAATAAATACTTACTACTCTCAAAAAGATTATATTTTTCACATCCAGGGGCTAATTTTTCAGTTTGTCTGCAACACTGATAACTTCCGTCTGCCCAGAATTTAGGATGATATTTAATCATGATATTATTGTTGTTCTTTATTTCTGTAATTCACAGACACATTAAATGATTAGTGATGTAAAAACAGAAATGACAGAGTGTTTTGTACATAACACTGTCGATCATTCTCAATTTCTCAGATGCTACATTTATTATGAAAACACCTCATACCATTATACAGCCCCACATGCAGAAAATCTCTATGCTTCTCTTTGACCTTCTTATTTTCACAAAGCCCCCTGTTAGCAGAAGTGACCTCTGCTCTACCATGATGGATAAACACAAAAGTCAGCCCACACCATTCTGTTCAGCAGAAGAAGGGATGGGGCCTGCCCAGTGCAAATCACCCATTTAGACACTCTACACGCAAGTCAATTCATCCACACTAAACGCTGACTACATATTTCTTAGAAAATAAAATCCTATTATCTTAAAAGCCCAGGGCTTTCTCATCTTTAAATGTATTAGACATTAAATGAAAGCAGGCATTTTTTGGAAGCGATGTGTATACCCCTAGAAAGAACCAGATTAAAAAAAGGAGGTTGTCTTCAACATGCATCAAAGTTGCAGGATGTCCTCAAGAGAAACACTTATTATGGATTAAAAGATTATAAATGTAAGATACATTAGCTGTATTTCTCTTTTAGTGGTAACAATGTCATATTCTAAAATTATGTGCAGTTAATACTTCATTATGAGTTTTACCTTCTTTTAACTTCTTCACCCACCGGTCCCTGCTTTGTGCACTAGGTGCAAAAACGTAGAGTGTGTTGGCATCGTGAACCACCTAAAGTAAAACAAACGATGGGATAGGTGAGAAATACTTCGACACAGCACTACTATCTAGCACAGAGCCCCTGGAACAAAGGCATCCATAAATGATTCTGAAGTGATCAAATACAAGTGACTTACCTCGGATCCAGAGAACCTACCTTCCTTTCTTACGAAAGCTATCTATTCTTCGTGTCTAGATCAAGTGGGAAACACATTTTGCAAGGGACTGTGTTTTTATAGAAAAAAAAAATATATAGAGGCCAAGAAGCTTCACTAATCTTATTTCTTACAATCTGATTAACTGAAGATCCTTAAGTTTGATGTAGCCTGGCATTATTCTAATCTTGTATTTTTCTGAATAATATTTTACACAAATGGACTACTCTTTCAGCGTCACTGCTATACCTCCCTTTTGCCACTATAAATAATGGCAGTAGCTAACTTTATTAAACACTATCCCGACTCTATACTATGTGCTTTATAGGCATTAATGCAATTAATCCTACCAGTGAGGCATCAGTATTTACATTTTACAGAGGAGGAGACTAAAGCTGCCCCCCAGACCTTCCACTGCTGTCTAAATCCAGGCACCATTCATGTACAATACACTGCACAGGGTGCCCCCTAATGTTGTGCTACTTAACCTGGTCCATCTCATCTGGCTAGTAATCCAGAAAACCAGGATCCTGACTGCACAGCCCACTCTGTGAACCACAGTACCTCTTTTAGAGGTAACTCCTGATGCGAAAGTCAAGTTTTATTCTTAATATATATTTTTTAATATTAGTAATAAAATTCAGCCTGGGAAACTAACCCCCACATTTTGTCTTTGGTCTGTCACTTTACGCTTGATCACAGTCACAAGGCAGGAGCACCCTGACTGGCTAACAAGAAATACAAGGCTAGAAACCCCCTCCCTTCTGACACAGAAAGACAAATACTACATGATCTCACTCTAGGTGGAATCTAAAATAGTCAAATTCATAGACGCAGAGTGGTGGTTTTCAGGGACAGGGAGGAGGGGTAAATAGGGAGATGTTGGCCAGAGCATACAAAGTTCCAGTTAAGGAACACGAGTGAGTTCTAGAAATCTAATGTACAGCATGGTGACTACCGTTAATGGTACTGTATTGAATATCTGGAATCTGCTAAGAGGGTAGGTCTCAAGTGCTCACAAACAGGAAGGAAGGAAGGAAGGAAGGAAGGAAGGAAGGAAGGAAGGAAGGGAGGGAGGGAGGGTAATTATGTGAAGTGATGGATATGTTAATTAGCTCAACTGTGATCATTTCACAATGGATACATATATCAAAACATCAAGTTGTACACCTTAAATATATACAATTCCTATCTGTCAACTGTACCTCACTAAAGCTGAACAAAAAAAATGTTTTTAATCAACCAACAAAGCGATGGCAGGAAACTATAATGTCAAATAGTAAGCATGACTAAAAGCCCAGAATTACACTGTGGCAAAAAAAAAATTTAAAAAAATAACATGTCAGCTCACCTGAAATGGGTATTTGTTTTGGCAGGGAATAACAACATCATCATTCTTCACTATTTCCACACACTTGATTTTTGAAACATCAATAAATCCCTTCCTGTATTTTTTCTGTTAAAAGAAAAAAAAAAAGAACTATTGCAATCATAACATCTAAGAAAAAATGTTATTAATAGAAATGTTTGTTAAAGAAATCATGGATTCAAAATATTACAATTTTCTCAATAATTACCTAAATCATGTCTCCATTTATTGTAAAACTGTTCAAAATACTAACATTGTCAGAACTGTAATAAAAGAGATTTTTTTTTAAAAAAAAAAGCGATTATTTTCATTTATTTCTAAAGATTAAATTTTCCTATCCTTGCCCCCCAAACACTCTAGAACACAGGAATGGACTCCTTTTTGTCACCTTCCCCTCTTAATTCAATGCCTTGATGACAGCACTCCATCCCCACTGCCCCCCCAACACTGAAGACCAAACCAAGCAAAACTCCAGGTACTTGCAGGGGCGCCTGGGTGGCTCAGTTGGTCGCATGCCTGACTCTCGATTTTGGCTCAGGTACAGATCTCATGGGTGTGATCTCAGGACTGTGAGGTCAGGCCCTACCCTTGGGCTCCATGCGCAGTGTAGAGTCTACATGAGAGTCTCTCCCTCTCCCTCTGCCGCTCCCCCTGCAACCCACGTGCTCTCTCTCTCTCTCTCTCACTTGCTCTCTCTCAAATAAATAATTTAAAATAATAGGGATGCCTGGTTGGCTAAGTGGTTGAACATCTGCCTTTGGCTCAGGGTGCGATCCAGGGTCCTGGGATCGAGTCCCACATCAGGCTCCCCACAGGGAGCCTGCTTCTCCCTCTGCCTGTCTCTCTCTCTCTCTCTCTCTCTCTCTGTCTCTCTCTGTGTGTGTGTCTCTCATGAATACATAAAATCTAAATTAATTAATTAATTAACATAATAGTAAATCTTAAAGAAAAAAAAACTCCAGGTACTTGATCACAGATGCAAATTCTAACTAGTTACATCTCCTGCAACACACAGAACTCAGGAGGATGTGAGGTGGACCTGGGATATTCACAAAGAACTTCCATTCAGATTCTATTGTTGGATGTTCTACTTTACTTCTCTATTGCCCTCTTTCTGCTCACTGCAATTCTACCTGCATCAAATAAATAAGGACATATCAAGACCTCCCTCCACCCTTAAGCATACTAATTTCACACCAGAGAACTTATCAAAGGGAAAAAAATCCATAAGGATACATAGTAGCATGTGCAAACATAAGTTGATAAAATACACCCATTAAAATCCCATTACAAACACAATGTAGAAATAAAAAATGTTTACTGCACAATAGTAACTGATATATTCCACACACACACACACACACACACACACACACACACAAACTGTATAAAGACTAAAGTTACTTTTGGGAAGAGGGTAGTAGATATTCACATGATAAAGAATAGAAGGAAAAGTAGAGAAAGGAAGATCCCTGTAATATTTGGGGTAACCCAGCCACCCCCTGGCACTAGTCATTCAAAATTGCTTCACTGAATATTCTAAAATTGTTCTCTGGTCACAACCTTTGGGCCCCCTATCTGGCTCCCAGGAACCTGCTCTGGCTGGTCACCCTAAGACTTTCAGAACTTCCCACTCTCCCAGAACACCAGCTCCCATCTGACTGACTAGACGATTCCAGAGGTCATTTCATCATTTCATCTTTCTCTCTCTTTCCTCCCTCCCCCACTCCCTGCACAAATCCCATATATCCCTTGACTATTTTATCAGTGCCTAGTTCTACCCACACCGTCCTTATTCCTTCACACCTGATTGCAGAAGGTCAATGATAATCCTAACTTTCTTTTCTATGCTTACCCAGGCCCTCAGTGCTGCTCCTCATCTCCTTCGTCTATCTCTAGCGGAGAGAACCTGGTGGCCTCCATGGAGAACACCAGTCTTATCAGAACTACAAACCCTTCCTATTCCCTTTGTCCCAGCAGATGAGCTCCCTCACTGCTTTATGGGGAAGAGAGCAGCCATCCCACAAGCACATCCTCCAACTTCTTTCATCTGGAGATCAAAAGCATTCTAAGATTTATCTTTTTTCTCTCTCTCTCTCTCTCTCTCTTTTATCCTGTCTCTTGGAGAAGTTAAGGAAACTGCAGCTCAGACCAACTAAATATATTACCCAAGAACACCAGCGGACTCCAAAGCCTACTGAGCCCTAGCATATCCCAACTGCAAACAAGTAACAGCACGAATGGAGCCAAGTCCCCAGGGAAAGGCAACAAGGATTCTGAGCATGGACCAAGCTTCAGCCAGGGTAGAAAGAGGAACATTCTCCCCAGCTGTGCTTTTCTGAGGAACTTCCTTCTACCTATAGACACATTTGGGCCTCCCATCCATACCAAGAACCCTTCTTCTGGCCCTGCTATCGCCCTCACTTTTCTCTTCCCTTCCTGAAATAGAAGACGACTACACCCTAAGCCTTCATTTCCTTCCTGCCCACTCCTCCTCCTTAGCCACTCACAATCTACCTCCCACCTCACCACAGCCTGCTAAGCCAGTCTCAAACACATCACCAGTGATCAAACCCAACAGCCTTTGCTTGACTGTCACCCACTCACATGAGGTCTTTGAAAGTGCCACCACTCTATTCTCCCTGAGTGGCCTTGACTTTGAGTCATCCTAGGTTTTCCTACTCTCTCTTTCCTTCTGTTTCCCACATGACAACACCTGTCCTGTGTCAGCAACCGTGTCAAGGAATACACAGCCTGAGGGGGGGCTCACTTCCTGGGCCTGTAGCTCAAATATTATGCCATTTAGTCCTCACAAACTCTGTGAGGGAACTATTACTAGACGCATTTTACAGAGGGAAGGAACTAAAATGAAGTAACTTGCCCAAGAAAGACAGTACTGAGTATACCATGTTGTAAGTACTATATATAAAAATGATGCACCAAAAAAAAAAAAAAAAGATGTGCATGGACACAGAGGAGCTGGAGCTGAAAGGCCAATTCTGGAAGAGAAATGCTGATACGACAGGGAGGGACTGAACAGCACATGACAAAGAAGAAGTAAACAGCACCTACGAAGAAAAACATAATCCAGAATGACCTCGGCTGCCTCATATGGAAAACAGGAATAATAGCAGCTAGGAGAATTAAATGACTTAGTATTTACCAAGGGCTTAGAATCGTGTCTGGCTTAGAATATGATGTCTATAAGTTTGCTCCAGGAAATAAGTAAGTAGCAAAAAAAGGCCAGCGTGGCTGAAGTACAGGGTGCATGAGGCAGCATGGAAAGGTGAGTAGGCCTGGTTTGTGAAAAACCTGAGACATGGCGTTAAGAGGTCTGGTCCAACAGAGCCACCCACCCTGCTCCTGGGGCCTGTGCCGGGCAATGGGGTGGAAGCAATTGCCAGAGCATCATCCTCCTATTAAGAAATCACATGTGTTCACTGTAGAAACCTTAGAAAATACTAACAGCCTGAAGAAAATCAAACGGCCCTTAGTCTCCCAACCCTGGAGAAAATCACTGTTGACATCATGGTGTTTTTCCCGACATTGCTCTCAGGGGTCATTTATCACCTAACAGCCTCTTCACCCTTGGGCAGCAGGCTATATACGGTCTGTTTCTGAGATACTCATCTCCACCCACCACCTGCCTTTGCAACTAAACACAGCTGTTAAATGCAGATCAATCTATACCAGAAAATTTAGGATGGCCTGTATATTGGGCTGACTTATGCCCCCTAAATTCATGTTCTGTGATATACAATCTATTCACGTACTGCACTAATATTGGGATTTGCAGATAAAGGTTCAAATGTAAGCTGCTCATCCATGATTTTAACTACCGCTCCAGCAAACCCTGATCAGACACCAAGCATGACATTGTGTGCTGGAGCTTCAAAGTTACGGAAGAGGGTTGAGGGTCTCCCTAAGAGGGGTTCACAGTAATATACTGGGTGAAAGGAGAAGAGACAAATGATTCATATCAAATAATGACAAACCCATGTGAACTCATGTGTTATGGAGTGGGCCAGTGATTGGGCCAAGAGAAGTTGGAGAAGTTTCAGGGGGGAAGTATCACTTTGATTTGGTTTCTAAAGGATAAGTAGGAATTTTCCTGTAGAGAAAGTAGAGGAGGAAAAAAAAAAACTTCAGGCAGAAGCAAAAAAGCACTCATTTAGGGAACAGAAAAAAATTCATTGTGGTGCAGGGTGGTTGAGGGGAAGTGTAGGAAACGACACCAAAAAGGTTATTTAAGACCAAATTAGGAAGATGCCTACATGACCAGCCAGATGTAGGAGTTTGGAATGAAGAATGCTGTGCTGAGGTTTGTTTTTGAAATGGCAAACGTTACTGGCAAGGTGACAAATGGATGGAGACAGGGAGGCTAGCCAGGAGCCTGCTGTGGCAGTTCAGGTGATAGATGGTGAGGTCACAAACCCAGTCAATGGTAATAAATCGGCTGAGGAAAGCAGGGACACCCGAGCATTAGAAGAGAGAGTCCACAAAACTCTGGCATCAATTAAGTGTGGAGATTAAGTGAGAGGAAGGAGGCAGGAAACCTCATGGATTTTGAGCCCGAGTGACCAGTAGACACCAACACCATGAACCACCACAAGGAACACAGAAGAGTCAGATTTGAGACAACTTTGGGACATGTTGTCTGAGTTGACTATTGGACAGCCCACCGGAAATGTTTGGAGGGAATTGAAAATATGAGGCTCGTACTCAGCAATGCTTATCAAAATCTCTACAGTAAAGAGAATTCTCAACACATATGTTGTATATATAGCAGAACCTTTTTCTAATCACACCTCAGGGAACCCTGGGAGGTTAGGTTAGGTTGAGGAAGAAAAGGTTTGGAAGGATTAGGAGACCGACCTGCCTTAGGGAACCCTAAGAGTTACTGAAAGAGCCATGTGCCTGCCCTCTTGACACCTGGTCTTCACACTCTGGTGAACCAGAGTTTACACTGAGAAGAGACATATAACAGATTTTTTTCTCCATTCAGACTATTTATCACTGCTTCGTGATTACTGAAGTATGCTATACAGTATTGTTAATATTGTGGCCCAAGGAGAAATACCCAAGGT